TATTACTATTATTATATTAGTATTATTAGTACTGTTGGTATCCATGTACATGGATGGAGGCCTTATTTTTTCGATACAGCCAATCCTATACATACCAATCAGCCATTACATTATAACCAGCTGGGCACCCTGGTGGTCATAATGTTATACACTCGCATACCAACGAAACTGTGATGAACTGTGAGTTCTGACACCTATCTATCAGAACCAGCATGAACTTTTCAGCAGTTTGAGCTACAGTAGTTCATCTGTTGGATTAGACCACACAGGCTGGGCGGCTATGACTTTGTCTCTGGTTCTTTTCCTTCCGTGGTCCACTTTTGATAGGTACTGACCCCTGCAGACCGGGAACACCCCACAAGAGCTGCAAGTTTGGAGATGCTCTGACCCAGTCGTCTAACCATCACAGTTTGTGTTTGTCAAAGTCGCTCAGATCCTCACGCTGCCCATTTTCCCGCTTCTAACACGTCAACTTTGAGGAACAAGTTACTATAATAACCAGATAATCAGCATTATTCAGTCACCTGTCAGTAGTCATAATGTTTTGGCTGATCGGTGAATGTTATCTACCAACATATCAAGTGTAGACCACACTACACAATGAAAATGTAATATACATCAAAGGATGATTGTCTCACAAAACTGACTTCCTGTTTCCCGTAGGTGGCGCTATGACTATGACTGAATATTGTCATGTAGATGTGTTCAGACCAGGACTCTTATCAAACACGTGAAGTTTGAGGCAGATTGGACAATGTACACTCAACTACTTCCTGTTTCATGGCAAAACGTTGAATTTCAAAACCACACCTTGGACAAACGTCAGTGATCTACCAAACTCGAATGTCTTGATAGTTATGACCCAATATCAAGTTGATCCGATGAATTGTCTAGGAGGAATATTTGTGGAAATTGCCAAATATTACCATTAGATTCAAAATCGACAACTTCCTGTTGGGATTGGGGTAATGGCTTTAAGATGCTTTTGTCTACATCTGGATATGATACATGTGCCTACCGGTTTTCATACATATTGGTGAATCAATTCTGAGAAAAACTAAATTGGATGGTCTGTAACTTTCTCTCTTGTCCTCTCCCTCCAGGTGGGTCCAGCAGGGTCTCAGTTTGGACTCCTTGCTTGCCTGTTTGTTGAGCTGTTTCAAGGTTGGCAGATGCTGGAGAAGCCATGGAAGGCCTTTCTCAAACTGTTGGGCATCGTCCTCTTCCTCTTCCTGTGTGGCCTCCTGCCGTGGATTGACAACATCGCCCACATCTTTGGTTTCCTCAGCGGCCTGCTGCTCTCCTTTGCCTTCCTGCCCTACGTCACCTTCGGGACTTTTGACAAGTACCGGAAACGTATCCTCATTGCTGTCTCGCTGTTGGCCTACATTGGGCTGTTCTCTTCCCTCATCGTTTGGTTTTACATTTACCCGATTAACTGGCACTGGCTGGAGCATCTCACCTGCCTGCCCTTCACAAGCAAGTTCTGTGAAAAGTACGACATAGACCACAACATTAATGATGTGGTGCACTAGTCTCTAGGCTACTAATGACGTCTAAGATGACCACATCATCTGTGTTACTGATCCACTATCTTCTAGCCAATGACCAGGTCAGAATGTGGCAATCACTTTTTTAATTATTCACACATCAGAGCACCTGATCAAAGGACGTGGATCGGTCACTTCTCCTCAGCCTGCTGACTTGCTTACTTCCGTAAAACTTTACTCAACCTTTTTAATCCTCAGTCAAGTCTGGCACTACCTAGCAGGTTAATATGCTAATGCCCTAGCAGATCCTCAGAATCAGACGACAGGAAAAGATACTCAGGACGTCAAAACTACGTACAGCTGGGTGGACCTAAAGGAAAAGATCTACAGAGCGAGAGACTGCCTGGTTCCTTCAGTTCAATCTAAAGAAGCCAAATGACAAAAGAAGACACAGGCATCTCTGGCCTACTGTCACTTTTCCCTTTAACTCTATGGAGGACAAATAACTGAGTGAAAAGGAAAAATGATGCCATAGTAAATCATCAGTTATGTTGAGACACATCAGATGCCTACTACTAATTCTCGTTTTCAGTAACACTGGGTTTAACACTACAAAAGCTGTCATTCAGTTCTGCTGCTTCTCATTGTCTCGTGAAATGCTTCTTTTCTTTTCTTATTTTTTTTTTTTTAAAATCTTTGCTTTTTTGTATGTATGCACTTGGCATGTCAATATTCTTTGGGACAGTGAAATGTTATGCTAAAGGTAATGTGTTCCAAGTATTAACTGTGCAGCTGGAATAAGTCAAATATCAGTGGTCAGTTAAGGCAAGATTTCTATCTAAAACCACTAGTTGCCTTAAACAGACTATGCCATTTTACAGAGATGCCTCATTTTACTTTAGCATTCTGCTTGTGATCAGCTTATTGAATGAACAGATGTGATGAACAGATTTCTGACCTTAATCTACCAAAGAAGCCTGACATGCTGCTTATATATGCATGTTAATTTTCACAATCACATAGTTTTCTGTATGTCACTGCCACAAACACAAGTTCTCAGTCAAGCTCTACTTATAATGTCTCGTATTTGCTCATATTTGTCCGATAACACAGTGGTGCCTAAATCATTTTGTAGATGTACCTAAATAGGCATTTTTGTTAGATCAGAGCAAGTTTTGTACTGTATTTTTTGACTCTGTGAAAGCAGTCAGAGGATCACGTTGTGAAGAGATGTAATTTATGTTTCACCTTAGCCTTAATATGTTAATATACCATTCAAGGCTTTGTTTTACCATTTACACTTGTGAATAACTCTCCTTGACGAAAAACAGTGCAAGAAATATGAATTTTAAACTGCTTCAAACTGTACTGTTGCTGCAGACATAGGAATTTCTTCAAACAGACACATTCAGACTTAACCTGGACTGGATTTGTTTTCACACGTATTATTTTGTCTTGTCAGACAACTGCTTGGATTGTAGTCCATGACCAACCGTAGATTGTTGCTGTTCACAATGTGTTAGCTGTAACAATATGATTTGAGAAGTCATAACACCTGAAGTTATTAATTTCTCTCACGGGTTCCTGTCTCGTGCTTGTTGGTGATTCTGGCATGTGTTGACCCCAGCTGTTAGGAAAGCCACCGTAATGTGGAGGATTACGTGAGTTACTAAGTGAGTTATAAGATTATCTGAGTTTGTTGGTGTGGCAGACTCACTGATCATCTGGTGTTGTTGAGAACAGGAGTTGTTAAAAACATCCAGGTTCTGATATTTTAATCAGTTTTAACACCACCGTATTTGGATTCTCAAATCTGTTTTTAGACAGGGCTCTGCTTCAGCAAGTGTAAGTAAAGTCTGAACAGTGACATCCATCTCTGTGTAGACTGTGCCTTTTGACATGTGAGCATGTGAGTGTTTGATCTGAAACACAACAACACACATCTTCAATCATGACTGTAGGCAGCAGTTATGCTGCTTTGTTTGTATTGGGACCAAATCATTTCACCCTTTTCTATTTATTGGAATAAAAAGGGAAAGTTTCAAATGGGTTAAGGGCATGGTTAAGGTACTGTTCTGTTTTTCTTCAGTTTTATATGTGAAAATCTATGTGTGTTAAAGCTATTGTCAAAATAAATGCCACTGAGCTTATGTGTGTCAGTAAGAAGTCTCATTTCACATTAGTCCCCTGCAGTGTCTGCAATCAGTACCATTTTCTTTACTGTTGGCACCACAGCAGTCAGATGTTGACCCTAAAAAACAACTTTTACATTAAAGCAGAGATACATGCAAATGATATATGTGTATATTTAAATTAATCTTATTTAATGTTAATGATCAAAATCCAGAAATCCTGAATTCCTCACTGAGAGAACTGTTTAAATCATTAGACGTGTTCGAAAGCTCCAGAACAGCTACTAAAGGTACCTTGTGGTGCAATTGTTTTATTGTTATACTATTAAAATGGCAATTGCTAATTCGTTGTAAATAAAAAAGACCTTAGAGAAGAAATGAAAATATAACCTTTTATTATTTCAAGAACAAAGCATTGTAAATAAAAACAAACAAACAAACATTTGTCTTGATTCAAGACTTTGGGAGGCAGAGGTGGTGATTGTCTACAAGGGAGAAGGTGAGAGGAGACTATCAAGGAGAGACTGAAAGCACATATTTAGGATATCTAAATATACTTATTGTACTGGTGATTGTACGTGCAGAAATAATACGATCAGTTATATTCTAAGAAAGGCTATATTCTTTCTCTTTAACATACATCACATACTGTACACACCTCACAGACTTTCAGAACAGGTTTACAATGCTGCAGCATGCGTTTGTAACAGTCACTGATGGAGACAGGATCACTCAAATCTTAACATAAAGCATGTTAACATGTTGACTTATGTGATTTGATTGCTGACATCCCTCCCTTTATAGTTTTATTCCATAGTGGTTGAACTGTTTACTTTGGCATTTTACCTTTATAGGTGTACCATTATCATAGTTGAAAGTGTGACATAAACAGTAATCTAATGCTGCTATGAAAGGCATACTGTTTATACAAAACTACAGGACAGAATGCATTAATAATGGGCAGATACTGGTTTTATTTACTAAAAATAGTCCTTTCTGGCTTCATAGAGAGCCAGGAACCATGTTTGATTGGTTAAATAGCAAATATACATATAAAAAAAGGGCAAAGAAAGAAACAAGGCAGCTGAGTTCTATTGAATATGATAATAAATGTATCAAAATAAAATCGTTTTATACAAAAAAGAAAATTAAAACAAGTCCTTACATTTTTTCAGGACTTTGCTCTAATGATTTGGTTTTCGTGCTTTCACACTAAACTACAGATCAACATATTTGTAGTTTCCGACCACTTTTAAAAACAGCTGTTTCTGGCAGCTGGGTGGCAGCTCTGCGTTTTCTGCTCCCTGCAGACTGAACACACACCTTACCGCCTGCTGAACAAGTCTCACTCACAGTGATGACCACAAAGGCTGCGCTCCTTGCTCGTGCACAACAAAGCTGCTCACACGTCCCCTCATTTTGTTTCCAAAGGGGAGGGTGTCCCACCACCACTGAGTTAGAATCCACACTAAGTCCCTCTGTCCTCAACAGCCACTGTTACGGCGCATGAAGGCGTGGCCCCTGACCGGGTAGACCATCTCGATGAAGGTGAGGGGCCCCACCGTGATGTCACTAGGGCCCTGCACCTTGAAACCGGACTTCTGGTAGAAGGGAACCAGGAAGTCTTCACACATGAGCACAGCACGGCGGACGTAGGGCAGGCAGCGGAGGTACTGCAGGTAGCGCCACATCAGGATGGAGCCTTTGCCCTGCTGGCGGAAGGTCCGGTGGACAGCCAGGACGTGGATGTGGACAGTGGGCCCGTGAGGCTTGTGGAGAGTCAGGGCATCCTGGAAAACAGAGGGAGGAAGAGAGAGGTGTAAGAACAGGTGAATGATTGGAAAGACTGGACACAGATGGTATTTTCATTTAACCTAAGGCAAATCAATTGTGTTTCAAGCCTACTTTCTATTGTGAAATTGTGATTTATAAGAGAGCTAATATGCAAATCTTTGGCGATTCATCAAAAACTTTGTTTCAAAATCAAAAAAAGTTTAATTTGACATATTGTAGCCTCTGATCTCTGTATATCAGTGGCCTTGTTTAACACATTGTCTTCTGAATCCTTTAAACTGCCCTGCATATTTGCATAATTGAACTTGAGTAAGTACACGTTTTTATTGTACAGTTTTTTAACAACTGTGACATTTAGATGATTTTTCTTCTACTGAAAAACACATTTGCAAACCTTTTGGCAAGAGTATACCTCCCACTGTGCATTCAGAGAGGATTTGAGAAATAAAACTTTTGAATCTTGTAAACTATTTTAGTTTTGGTGCAGCACAAGAATGGTTACAAGAGTGCATTTAAATATTAGAGGTAGTAGAACAGGAGGGTTTTCATCACAAACTCAAGCAAACCCAGAGGCATGTATCTCATCAGGACTCTTCAAGTGGTATTTGCATTAGAGGCCTTGATGCTGAAGCTTGCTCACAATCAACTATAGATTTAGATGGATCTGTGTAACATGTATCCTCACCCACTGAAGCTCATTATGCCCTTAAATCTGTCAAAATCTCTTCTGATAATCTGTTTTGAACCTCGTCTTTTATTTCCATTGCCAGTCAGCCTGAGATAAATCACTGTCCAGGTGTCCTCCGCTCTGTCTTACCGTGCTAAGCCTCTCCTGGTCCCACAATGAGCCGATGATGAAAGCCACCAGACGTCCCTCCTCAAACCAGCCAAGAGACAGCTCAGGACAAAGTGTGAGGAAGTGACGCACCTCGTCCAGGTGGAGAGGACACTCACCGGATACAGAGATGAAGGCTGTGTGGAGGAGGAGATCAAACATTATGACAGAGTAGTGGGACTAATTCTCCCTTATGGACTGACTAGGACGTACTGGATCACATTCACCAATGTAATGAAGGTTAAAGGCACCTGAACTCATCTCACATGCATTCAGGACACAGTTAAATCTCCATAGTAACCTTATTTTATAGTGACCTACTCATCATAGTAAGTAGATGTGAAGCTATGGTCGATGGAAAAAAAATAACTTTTTTACTGTAATTTGTGCTAATAAAGGTTATTACAAATTATCAGTGAGTGGAGGTTAACTGTTTTTTGTCTACGTGTGGATGAAAACATAAACTGGGGCTGCGGTTGCAGGAGGCTGAATGAATGTTCCTGTGTGCGTAAATGTGCCGGGAACAGTTACTGTCCTGAAGTTATTAAGATAAGTAATAATAAGTGATATAGTCAGTAAAAGAGTCAGCTCACCTTCTCTCTCGATCTCGAACACACTGATGGCGTCCTCCGGGCTGAGGGAGCGGAACTCGCTGGCCGGCAGCGTGTGGCGGCGGCCCTGCGACACCGGGGAGCGCATGTGGAGCGGCTTCATGAACGGCACTGCGCTCAAAACCGACATGGTCCTGTTGTTATTTATTTAATTTTATTTACCCCAAACGATTTTTAAAGTAAAGCAAAGAGAGCTGTGCCGAGATGGTACTCTCTGGCTTCCAGCTGCTGTCTCCTTTAACAGCCTATCTCTTCGTCTAAAAGGCTGATCCGTGCGTAACTGGACTGCGCGTAAGGACTGAGCGGAGAGTGGCGCAGCGTCAGTATTTATACCCCTGGTGCGCAAGGGAGGTTGGTTATAATCCTGAGGCGAGCTGGATGAGCCTCCATCCCCCATGAGTGAAATGAACAATAAACATATTTAGTCGGGGTCAGGAGGGATATCCGTGTGTTACCCTCGTCATGCCACCATCAGATCCGCATTTGGATTTTACTGATCATGTGTTGGAGTTCTCACTTGCTACCGACCTATTGACAGGAGTCATTTCTGATGTAACATTCAATAAAGTGACTCGCCTGAGTGGATGATAGCTACATTTAGAACAGCAGGAAGGACTGTGATTAATTATTAATGTCAGTTAATGTCTCACTCCTAATTGGGCCATCTGGAGGACTCACCGCTCTTCATGTGATTTATCTGAGAGAGACTTTCCACTGGTCGTCGGTTGTCCCTTTAAGTCGAGTTCACGGTCTTTCGACTCTTTATTTTTCCAGATCTGTAATAGGATTACAGGATGTGTGGGAGTGTGTTTGTCACCTCTTCAGTGTTAAACAATGCTATGTCAACAATTTCTATTAGACATTTGGTTTTATGGACAGTTGTTGTCCTCTCCAGCTAAACCTTACAAAACTTCCCCACAAGATGTAACCCATATTTTAAAGTCAGGACTCAGTGCTTTAATTTATGTTTTTAATTAGCAGTTTGTATTAAGGAGGCACCTGAGTGGTCCAGCTAACACAAACTGGCACCAAGAGCAGGTGAACTCTTTGTAAGGGTCACAAGGTTGGAAATAATCTTCATCCCCAGATAAACATTCAGCTTAAATTGTGCGAAGGCTTTATACACTTACACTCTTTTATGGGTTATTTTTAAATATGAGAAGATTTCCTGAAAGAATTGTAAGAGCTCGTGTTGGGGTCTGTTATAGGTCTTTGTTTACAATAAACAGACAAAAACCACAAACCCAAATGTAAGGTTCTTTTATTTCCAAAAATCAAAAAACAAACAAACAAATGACAAATAATATTTTAAAATCCAATGTGAGGAGATGTCATAGAGGTTTAACGTAAGTTATTGAATTAAACAAGGAGGCCCAGTTTCACTTACTCTGACTTTACTTGTCAAACTGCTTATAGCTTTTAATATCAACCTTTTCTTCTCCTTTAAACATCAGAAAGTGTAACTGAAGTGGTGCTGTGAACAACTGAACTAATGTATTTTGGAAATGTTAGAGAACTTTGACCTTCATCTTAAAGAAAGAGACATTGTTTTTTATTTATATCGCCACATTGATATCGACTGATATCGAGATATACTTTGTCATTAGAAGCAAACAGTCACTTATTTTTTACAAGAATTAAATGTCTGGTTAAGAAAGCCGTGTTCACTAGTAGTGCCAACTGGCAGTGGTCATGGATCAGTTGGTGGAGTTTCCCTTTAAAACCACCCATTCACAAACACACCATCCTTCTTTTTATTTAACAATACAAACAAACACATCTTTCAAACTCATGGTGCACTGCTGTGCAAATAAAATGTATATGAGTAATAAGAAATATAAAATATTATATATTATGACATACTGTGTAATATAAAAGTAAAAGAAAATATAAATATAAACTCTTTATATATGTATATACACTTTTTGTTTGTGGTTAGTCCTAATATATGTATATATTTCATATTTGTTTAAATTAGAGTAAAACACAAAGCGTTAGTGTAACATTTAGGTGTGTAACTCCACACAGTTTAAAGATACACTCAGTGTGTACAACAGGACGTGGCTCACACTGCCGCTCAGTGGCGACACAGCGCACTGCGTGATGACGCTCTCACACTGCGCTAGTTACGCTGCTCTCCGTTACGACGTAAACACGTGCACCTCGCTGCTTCCAGGTTACCGTTTTTTTCATTCCACCGTCATCCTCGCGCTCTAGCATCACTCCCTGACAACAGCAGCGATGGCGGAGCCCGTAGCACCGGAGGCGGCGGCCGCGACGGACGCAGCGATAGCGGCAGCATCCCCGACCCCGGGCCTCTCTCCCGCAGCCAGCCCGGGCTCCGAGCCTCCATCCATGGCTCTGTCTCCCACGGCGGACGGCTCCCAGCGGCTGCTCTTCTCCCACGACCTGGTCTCCGGGCGGTATCGCGGCTCAGTCCGGTTTGGCCTCGTACGGATGATCCACGGCGAGGAGGACTTTAACTCAGACTCGGACCTCGACGATGGCGGAGGGAGAGGCGGCGGCGGTGGGGGAGGAGGGAGGAGGAGGTGGAGGAGGTGGAGGAGGAGGAAGAGTCCCGGGTGGCTCGGACACTGAGAGCGCTGTGGACACCCCGAGTCGGCCTCTCGTCCGGGGGTTCGTCCGCGTCCAGTGGTACCCTGAAGGAGGGAAGCAGGACATCAGAGAGACAAAGGTACCGCACATACCGGCTAATGTGGGGACTGTTTACACCGACACGGCTTTACACACTCAGCCCGCCGTGACAGCTGCATTGTTTTCACCTGCCTGTGGTGTTTATGTGTTTATTTATTGCCCCCCAGTCGGGGTAAGATCCCCCTTAATGCCTCCGACGGTAACACGGCTCGCTAACTGGCTAGCGTTCAAGCACACACGCTAGCTAGCGGTTTAGCTCGCAGCCTCATGTTGCTGAGCTGATCCCTGACTGCGTCCGTGGAGCCGCTCATCACCACATACACCCCGGTGAGTGGCCCCACGCAGGAAGCAGCTCTCGGGCTCTATCTGTGAGTACCAGGGGGTCTGTCAGGTGCAGGTCCCCGCTAGGAGCCGTACACCCATCGGTTAGCTCATCCCTGACTCAGTGCGGCTCTCGGCTGGGTGTGACTTGGCCTCAGACCAAACGCTGTCAAACATTTGACACGATGGAACAACCATTATTAGTGTTTACATAATGCCTCCGTTTCATATCTCAAACACACCTGCATCCTGTTTAAGAGCAGTGCGGCTAACAGACAGGAGGAGAGAGCTCATCACTGATACCTTGTGAGGAGCTCTGTGTGCAGTTTTACATTTCAGCCAGTGGATTTGTTTGTAATTCTCTGGTGATTTACTGGCACATTGATAATAGTTTCAGCTCTTATTTGTTCTGATTTGTGTTGTGGCCCGTGCAGTTAATTTATGACGACTTTTGAGCAGAAATGTACAGATATTAAACAGCCCAGAGTCAATTGGTGACATGTGGGTGCAGACCTGCAAATAAATAATTCACCTGACACTGATGAACTGCAGGTGATGGTGGTAGCACATTATGATTGGATCATTTGCTCACACAGTCACAGTGAAAGCCTTTCCCAAGAAAATCAAGGTAACTGAGTGAAACCCAGAAGCCTCTTAAATCTGCTCTTTACACATGATATTAAAAGATCCTTTCAGGGTTTTACTCAGCAGGATAACAGAGACGCAGTAACTCCGTTAACCTGCTTCAAACCCATTGTTTTTGTAAGTTTGGCAGCTTTGATTTAATTCATTGAACATGAAAGGCCTCAATAATTCAGACTGTATAAAAGGCAGTGTCAGGATTTCAGGGTAATATCTGGTAAAAGGTTGAGCTGCCCTGTTCCATTTAGAGACACACTCAGGTGTATATATCTATTGTTCACACACTCTGCTATATATGTTTGGACTCTACAACCCAATAATGAATTCAGTTGTAATTGGTAACAGGATGGGAAATCTGCTGTCGTGTTTATCCTCCAGGGCTTCTCTAGATTTCTCCTGGGATTTGTGGAAAAGGGTCACAGGGTTTAATGGAGCACTGGTCTGGAAAAAGCTCATTCAGGCTTGTTTTAGAGACACCGGATGGGACCAGAAGGAGCCTGTATCGGGGCCCACTGCTGCCTTGTTTTGTCCTTTGGGCTAAATGAGTAAAGTTCTGGTCTGAGTGTCATTCAACCTCTGTCCCAACAAAGGCTCCGTGAAACAATGACACCGACGTTTACACACCACACGGACCGTTAATGCTGTGTCATTACTACTCCGTGTCCCCAGAGGATCTCGTGCGCACATTCTGTAGTGTTCTTGTTTATGTTTTCTGTAGGTGTGTGTCTGTGATTTCCTGTTTGCTTATCTGCCCCACGTGCCCCGTCTCAGCAGGCTCATGTGCTGAGAGCGCGGTGGAGATTCGAATCAATAATTCAGGATTATTTCTTCAAGATGATATTTCCACAAAGTTTTGTCTCGTATTTATTGTGCAGGCGTCACCTCAGTCGACACGTTTTCTCTGCGGAGCAATCAGTGGAGGCAAAACTGATCAAATCTGACACACTCATCGGGGTTTCTCCTGGGATTAATAAAAGCAGCATTTTCACAGCAAAACTGGGATTTTGAGAGGAGTTTGGAGCACGGCGGCAGCCATTAGGTGCACATTATGAATTATTATTGTATTCTTAGTTTCTCCATTGCTTCATTATAGTGCATGAAAATGGATTCCACCTCATCACATTTCATTTTCTTTGTGTCTTCCTTCTTTAAAAAAAAAGGATGACCTGGATTGTTGCAGTGTTTGTAGAACTTGTGTAAGAATAAAGCGAGTAATGAAGATTTGTGGCCATGTAAAACTGAGACCACACACCACTGGCATTATTTTTAGGCGAGCTAATTCAGAAGACGTGTGACCAACTGCGACTGACGAGGAAGTTTATCTGCATCTTACAGACTCTAGAAACAAGAACATCAGTACAGCTTGTAAACTTTCTTTACTTAAACTTACATTAGTGTGCGGTGGCGTGTTCTTTATACTATGACAGTTTTCCTAAGTTTATTTAAAGAAGGGAGGATTTATTGCAGCACTGTTGAATTACAGTGTTTCTCACAATATATATCGTATACTGTGAGACCATATAGGTTTGTATCACAGCTTTTACCGTCCTGTTTATATTGAGGCAGCAATTCTTTATCTCTGGGTGTATTAGGCCATTGTAGGCATTGTTAAAAATCAATGACTCCTTTTATGGCAACATTTTCTGTGCATGTATTTGCACCAGTGTCAGGTGTTGGATATGTTGGATCGGACAAAACACACTCACATTGGTCATTTTATATATAGTTTCTCAGTTTCTCAGTTTCTCAGTCTCGCGATTGATTTTCCAGAAGATTTAGTAGCTCACATAATACTATATCACTATCATAATCTAAAATTAAATGTACTTTAATAGAGGATTTTATGTGTCTTTTATGAGTGAGTTCAACACATAAAACTTTCAGCCTTCATGAACATACAGTGACATGAGGTTGAAATGACGCTGCTGGTACATTTAGTAGCGAGGACTACTTAAGTTTCAGTGTCACTGCTGGTTTGGTCACGAGTCAGTCAGGAACAGAGGTGAAACAGCACTAAAATCTGAATTTCATATCACAATTATAGTGATTTCCTTTTCTTTTCCTCAGCACTGTTCAGTCTCTACAGTGTTACTTACAGTATATTGTGTTATTGTAAGATATCGGAGGGTGTATTCATTGTTTCTGCTGCAAATGCACAAAAGATAAGATGCTCAATGCATCATTCTGTTTTAATATGAAGGTACAATAATAATCTGCTCTTCCCTGTGCTTTGTTAGTAATTCAGTACATTTATTGCATATCAAGATAATTATTTTCCTCACAGACTTTAAAACTACTTGCAGTAGGTGCAGATTACTGTTTATCAGATGAGTGCAGGCGCTTTAAAGGCTAAAGTTACATTTAAACTGCTCCTTTACAATGCGGCCTGATGGGTCTGTGCTATATGCTTCTGTGTAGGTACTGAGATATTTAACATGCAGCTTACGTCGTGAAGGATTTTCTGTACCTCTGTTCATCGCAGGGATTTGGTTACCATGGCACCCAATTATTTTTTGCAACTGGTGATTTTGATGCTTAAGGTTGATTTTCAGTGAGGGGGGGAGATTTTCTTATAAATGTTACTCACCTGACATTATATATGAAAAAAATAGATTATAAAAATGTTGTGATTTGAAGAAAAACATGCTCTTTTACTTTCCGAGAGCATCGAAAACCAGAGCTGTGACTTTGACAGTACACCTTGACTCACCACCTGCCACTGTCAGTATAACACATGCAGCCCTGTTGCTGCAGCACAACCTTGAAATGTTTTATCCAAGGACATAAGTGCACTGCAGCAGGTAGCCAGCAGTGGGACGTACCGAGGGAATAGCAGCGCAGGGCGAGTCGGAGATGTCCCTGAATTTATCAATCATCAGGTAACTCAAACACTCAACACTGCACTGCTGAGACTCTCAAAAGTATAAGTAAGGTTACTTACTGCATGGCAGGATGATGATGCTGCTGCAAGTCTTGAGGTCAGAGAAGGCGGGTGTCGGGGTGGAGGGGTGTCAGGGTGGAGGGGTGGAGGGGCGGAGGTACGCTGTGGTGCAGAGAGAAAGTGAGGAAGTGGGGCAAAGAAATGTAAAGTGGATGGAAAAGATGTGGGGTAAGTCAAGTATTGAATACCAATTTATAAAAACGTCACCCGGATCTCAAAACTAGGAGAAAGTAACATGAAATGAAACACAAAATCTCGACTGGAAAGGAGGCAATGAGACCGGCTGACACTCTGGTACCAGATGGCTGTTATGGTAATGGTAAGGTCCCACCTTCTGCTCTCTGAGCCATTTTAAACTCTCAGCCTCTTCTGCATTATAGTGCACTCCTAAAGCTGCACTTTCAGGACCCAAGATTAACTTTTTAGCTCCTCTGCCCAACGTAGGTAAACTGAGAAAATGTAGCCAATAATATTTTTTACTTACTATAAAACTGCATCATGCATTATTTCACTAAAAATAGATCTCTCGTTTAGCCAGGACGCCGCCACTTAAAAACACTGACCTCTGGGACTTTTCTCCTCGTCTTTCTCTTTGTCTTCATGTCTTTTTAGGAGCTTCACACCGGGGCCTGTTTTACCACATCTCTCATCACATGTAACACATATGTTTCTCACAGCGAAAACATAAAGAGACATTGTGTAGAGAGAGCCAAATGAGTTGCTTTGCTTTGATTTGATGGCGTCAGGAAGGGACACGGTGGACAGTGAGGCTCACATTATTCTCAGCCAGTACACATAAAAAGCACAGTGATGTAAGATCCAGATCCTATACTGTAATTCCATATTACCTGGCTGGTGACCCCCATCTATTGTTGTGTCAAACTCAGAATTACCTGCTTTTTCCAGGTGTTAATTTTGCCCCCTGTGCACTTTCCTGAATGCTACCACCGTCAGGTCACTGTAATCATTCAGGTCACACAGAAAGTTGTGGACAGTTGAATGTAGATGGTTGCATGAGTAGAAAAAACAACAACTATTGAGTCTAATGCTGTAAGACGTGGACATGGAGACTCCTGGGGTTTTATTGCTTTTATCCTTTGCCTTTTATTGTGCTCAGCCTTTCTTTTTGTTTCAGA